GAACTATGAGATAGAAAAGTTACAGAGTGGGTCCCTTCCCAGTCACATGACCTGCTTTCACTTCACATCGGCCTTAATCAGCACTTCTGCCTGAGAATAGAGGACTTCCTATCTCTACTTCCCAGGTACACCTCACCTCCAGTCAACAAAGCAGACCCAGTCCTAAGTGCTGCAAAATGCAACTTCAAGCCCAGTTTCTCTCAAATTCAGATCCACCTGGATGCTCTAGTCTTTCAGATTTAGCCCTTCTCCCACTCCCTACTCACTTCTAATTAACTCATTCGGTCTCTTTTAGAATGGGTTTGTTGGGTTTTTTTTTCCCCTCTCTCCTCTATTGCTCCCAACACTTTAGCCAAACAGTTGAGTTTCAACCCTTTTTAAATTTATTAATTGGCTTGCCCTTTCTCCCCCCAGTCTAATCCATCTTGGCCCTTACCTCTCTTCCACTTATCCACAACCCATGCAGGTAAACCACAAGGAGGGTTTATCTTTGGTAAAAAGATATTCAAATATTCATAGGCAGTAGGCCTTTCTTTTCTAATTTCCTACAGTTTGAAAGATATGCTACTTGGGCAGTATCAACAGTCAAAAATGTCAGCAGAATCTATAAATGTGTCTGACAAGACTGAATGTCTTGAGGATAAGATCAAGTTTATATTTCTTAACAGCATATACCATTCTGCCTTCTATAAAAAAGGCATTAAATTCATTTAACTGAATTGTGAAACTACAAGTTGTAAAGGACAAAGAGCACTGAACTGAGCCTCCATAAACGTGAAACACAGATTTGTTCATGAGATGTGTGACTTTGGGACAATCACATTCTCTGGGCATGTGATCCATAACCGGTGGGTAATGAACATTTATCTGTGTGTCTGTCATCCCCATTAGAACATACTCATATAGGATTATACGCACTTTGAAGAGGGGGCCTGCGTCTTACTCCTTTTTTAAATCCCTCACAAAGCCCAGTAGCTAACACGCGCTCAATCAACTTTTAACTTGAACCGAGGAGTAGTACTGATAAAACAAGAGAAAACTGGAGTTCTGCGATCAATTATCACTGCACCAATAACCTCCGGCTTCAGAGATAAGGGGAATTATATCGCAACTTGAAACAATGAACTTCATTTCACTAACCAAAGTGGTGATTCAAATTATTTTTAAATGGTACTATCATTCAATTAGCATTCTTATGCACTAAATATCCACTTGTTTTAACAGCCCCCAGTTAAACATGCAGATAATTAACTGGTCTAAAATACAGTCTGAGTTAGGAATTGTGTCACTAGATTATGTTTGAAATCCCTTACAATTCTAAAGCTCCCTGATTTTCTAACAGTAAACCCAGGGTGATCCAAGCATCAAAAATCCACCTCTTCTTCGCCCAGCTGGCTGCTGTCATCCAGGCGGGGGAGACATGCTGTGGAACATCAGTCCCTGTCCAACAAAAGTAGTTCCCAAGAAGTAGAGGGCGGAGAGTAAGAGGCCCAAAGCGGCTCAGCGCCTTGCACAAACTATACTGAAATCACCTGAGCGGCAGTACCAGCCTGTGAAGAAAGCTTTGTTTTAGGACTTGAGAAATCTGAGTCACCCAGTGCCCTTTGTCCCTAATTTGCCCTAGCCTGGTAAGATGTCACCTCTCCTATCTGTAGGATGGCTACAAGTTGGGCTAAAATCTCTAAGGTCCCTTTCAGCTGACATCCAAATGTGCAGAACGCAGGGTGGTAGGAGCACCCTCTCCCTCTCAAACCAGGAGTAAAACCAAGCCCGCCTGCCATGCTCTGGGGCTCTTCCTGCAAAGTGGAATAGTGATTCTTAATCGGGGCCCTGTCCCCCTCAGAGGGCCTATTAGGATGGAGGCGGGAAGCAGCGAGGGCTGTTTCAAATCACACTCTTCAGAAGAGCGAGCGCCAAATCCCTCAGATGTGGGAAGGAAGGCGGAGACGGACATTCACTGCACCACAGGTGTGGCCCTTTGGTCGCTCCTGCACGGCGAGGAGGGGCTGCAGTATTGCACCCTGGCACACTGGGGGTGAAGGGAAGGGTAGGGCGTGCCCGCGAGGACCATGGAGGACCCGGGCCGCCGCTCACTCACCCACAGGCTGCTGAAGTAGTCCAGCCCGCGGTAGATGAGCGCGCCGGCGTGCGCCAGCAGCACCTGCACTCCCAAGTAGCTGCCGAGACAGTAGAGGACGTAGAGGAGCGGGCCCCCGGCGCCAAGCAGCAGGAGCAGGCGGCGGCGGCGCAGCACCTGCTCGCCCAGGGCCTCGACGCCGTAGTCGACGAAACAGAGTGGCAGCAGCAGCGCGGCCAGCACGATGGGCGTGTGCGCTCGGTGCAGGCGCTGCAGCCAGTGGCGGCCCAGACGCGTTAGCGAGCTCTTGAAGGGATGCAGGAAGGTGCCGCACAGCACGGCCCACAGCAGCGGCCGCAGGAAGGCCTCCAGGATGAAGTAGACTAACACGGCGGCGCCGCAGCACAGGCACACGAATAGCACGGCCCCCGTGTTGTAGAAGGCCTGCTTGATGGGCTTGTCGAAGCGCAGCGCCAGCGCCGCCGTCCGCGGGGTCTCCCCGCCGCTGCCGCCACCCGGCCCGACCGCGCGCGGGACCCGTGGCGCCTGCCCGGGGGAGCCCCGGGGGCCGGGCGCCTCGGCAGGGCCACTGCCGCCATCTGCCATAGTGCCCCTGCCGCCGCCGCCGTGAGGCGGTACTGGGAGCCGAGAGAGGAGCGCAGGCGGAGGGCAGCGCGGACGGCGCGCGGCATTGTGGGAGTTGTAGTTCCCCACTGGCCACTTAGCGCTTACGGGACCTGCGGGAAACCACAACTCCCAAGGGGCACGGGGAGCACTCCTCCTGGCGCTCCTTCGCCCATTGGTTCCCCAGGTCCCAGGTAACAAGTTTCTAAGGTCTACATCTTCCTGGAGGCAAAAAGAAAAAAAAAAAAGGATCCCTTCTCTCATTGGTTAATGTGAACTTCTCGAGAGGCGAGATCCCAAAGAGGCGATGTATTCAGAGATACTGACAATCAGGCTGCACAGTAGAATCCTGCGGAGGAGCGATTATAAAAGACCGATGTCCAGATTCTGCTTTACTGATTTATTTAATAAATGCTTTTAAAGTGTTTGCTCTGGTGTCTTTAACAGGATTTTAAATGGCGATTACCATATAGCAGATCTTGTTCTAAGTGGCTCAGTCCTATTAACTCATTTAGTCCTTAGAACAACCCTACAAAGAGGTGTTATTGGTCTCATTTTACAAACAGGAAAACTGAGACAGAGTAGTAGTTAAGTACCCGGCTAAGGTCACACAGCTACCAAGTGGCAGAAGCAGGATTACAAACTCAGGGAATCTGGCTCCTAAGACTGTACTCTTACCTACTATGCTATTTGGCCTCAGGAAGGAACTCTCGACATTTTTTTAAATGCTCCTCAGAGGACAGTAATGCGTGGCAGCTGTTGGCAACTATCTGTGCAGGTGGCAGTGTGGAAGCAGTCTAAACTCTTGAAAGAGTCCTAGATCAGAGTTTCAAACTGCCAATATTTCTTTTTGAGACTTGATGTCAGGTCAATTATGCCTCCAACCTCAATTTCCCCTCTGTCACATGTGAATGATAATAATATTAATAGAAGCTTTTGCCTCTGGATTGTTGTGGTAAAAGGAAACTCTGGGGCAGTACAAGGTACTTCTGTTTCTCCTGTTGGAAAAGTCCTGGGATCCAAGCCTGCAACCCGTAAAATACCCAATTAGCATTTTTATTTTTAAAAAATTAAGAAAGCCTTTAGTGAGCACTCAATATACGACTGTTTCAAATCCTGCAAGTTATCCCTTTCCTGATTCAATAAGTCTTCCTATTAATTTCAACATAATTTTTCTCTTCTAAAGTAGACAAGACAGGTATCATTATCCACAGTTTTCAGATAAACAAACTGTTGCTTACTAAGACTAGGAGCCAAAGGGATTCAGTAAATGAAGTAAAGGAAAAAGTAATTCCTTTCCATCTCATTTATAGATTTCAGGTCTCAGTTTTTCAGGGAGTCTTTAAAGTTTGACTGTAATATTTGCTTCAGTTGTTCCTACATTTTGCTTTGCTTTTTAACTACTTTGATTAGGCTTTCTGGAATTATGATTACAAATTATAGTAACTTTTGCTTTCAGTATCCATTTTACACTGACTCAAGTTCTCATTTATATAATAACAAGGCCTCAGCCTCCCTCCCAAAAAGGACTCAGTCATTTCTACAGAGGTCCCAAAAACGTTACCTCACATATGTCCAGAGACATGAGGCCACCACCAACCACCCTGCTGCCCACGGAGCTCACTGAGTGTCTACCATGAGCTTGCCAGTGCTTGTGGCATTATCCCCAGATCCTGAATACTCCCAAATGAGTATTTTTAATAATAAAAAAAATAGAGGTTGCAAGATGTGCTGGAAAGGACACACACTTTTAAGGCAGACAGACTTGAATTGTAATCCTGGCTCTGCAGGTTTCCTGCTGTATACCCATGGATAAATTAACTTCCTAAGCAGTTTCCTCATTTGTACAAGAGAGATATCTACATTGCAGGGCTGTTGTGAGGATTATAAGTAGTGTATGCAAATAACTAGTATGGCACTTGGCCACGGAGTAGTCATTATTTCCCTTCTCATGGACCCCTTTATATATAGCACCTAGCTGCCCTGAACACAACCCAACCACAATGGTTATTTTACAATAGAAATTCAAACAGTGCCTATTGGAAGAGCCATAACAAGGTGTTTGATTACAATCACTGTAAGCCAGGGCTGGCAATCACAAGGCATGTGAGTTACCACCTTCCTTTGCTGAGTCCTGGCAGACATTATTAATCAACCACTGAGTTCTTTCTCATTGAAGCCTAGACACAGCCTCAAAAATCTTTCTTGGCAAAACATTCTAGGGACCCAATACCAACCGAACAAAGTAGGCATGCAAGGTGAAACTTAATTGCCTTCCTTACTGTCACTAACCATGGAGTGTCTGCTATGAGATAAAATCAGCAGACTGAAAATGGAGACAGTTGATTAAGAAAAAAAGAGTTTGGGAAGGTAAGGTTAGTATGTACATGAGAAACTACTGAGAGATTTGTTTTTAAATTTCACTGTCTGAAGGGTAAATGGTGCAGTTAAGTCTGATACCATCAGGCCCTGCCTACTCCCCGTTATCCCTCCTCTTCCCGTGGCTGGACAGGTCCTGCCAGGTCACTGTGCCAAGGGTGGCCTTTCCTGTCCTTCTGGTCCATGCCATCCAGCTGCAGTTAAACTTCCATACCATGTTTCACAGTGGCAACAAAGATAATTGACCAGTTAGTGAAGAGATTATCAAATTGATTCAATCCAGTTGAGACTGATGTACCCAGGAGAGGGACACATGAATAAAACGAAGTGTAGAGATACACAAATTTTTTTTAAGTCTGTAACCAAGGCAGCTTCTCCTTCCTTTCCTAGGGTGGGAGAAAGGTTGGGAGGGAGGATGGGCATTGCAAGCTGAACTTTGTGATTAACAGTTGTGTGCTAAAAGCCTTAATTCTCTGTCCAGAAAGTGGCTGGCCTTAAGTATCCTTTGCTGGTGGTTCCTCATTTTCACAGGAGTGATTTATATTTTATCTGAAATAGATGAATTTGGAGAGATAGGGGTCAGGGTTTGGGATTCTTACCCCATCACTTCCTTGGCTCTGAGTAGAGGTCACCCAATGGCATAAACAAGCAGCCTTCTGCTGCAGACCTGAGCAAAACTGAAAAATAAAAGAGGGTGGATGCATTTCAAACTGCCCAGATTACTTCCTCTTTATTAGTAAAAGATCAAGTCCTGCTTGTTTTGAATCCTAAGTGTTGTGTTCTGTACACTCTTTGCACCACACTGATGTCACTGCAGCCTCTAACTGGTCTCTCTCCCCACCCCCTTGCACCACTCTAGTCAGTTCTCTACATTGCAGCCAGCAGCAGCCGATTTGCATGGTCCTCTGCAATGGCGCCCTGGCTCACCCTGCCTCACCTCTCGCCACTCCTCACCTTGTCCTTTATCCTCCAGCCTTGGGATGGAAGAAATAATGGCTCCCAAAGATATCCAAGTCCTAATTTCTGGAACCTGTGATGTGTGTTACCTTACATGCCAAAAAGCACTTTGCAGATGTAACTAAGTTAAGGATCTGAGATGGGAAGATTATCCTGGATTATATGGCTGGGCCCTAAATATAATCCCAAATATCTTTGTCAGAGGGAGGGAAGGAGATTAGACTACAGAAGAGAAGGCCATCTGACCACAGAGGCAGAGATTGGAGTGATGAGGCCACAGGCTAAGGACTTTGGTCAGCTACCAGAAGCTGCAAGAGGCAAGGAATGGATTCTCTCCCCTGGAGCCTCCAGTAGGAACCAGCCCTGCCAACACCTTGATTTTTATGGCTGTAAGATTCAGTTCAGATTTCTGGCCTCCAGAACTGTAAGAGAATACATTTCTGTTGTTTTAAGCCACAAATTTGTGGTGATTTGATGCAGGAGCAATAGGAAACTAATACAAGCCTTGTCAAATGACAGTGAGGTTCCAGAACACATCCTACTGGTCTTTCTTCTGAGGTTGTTCTCCCCTTTCTTGGAGATTCTTCTGCACGCCCTTTGCCTAGATTATTTCTAACCCTTTGTGTAAGTCAGTTCAGGCTGCTGTCACAGATTACCACAGACTGAGTAGTTTAACCAACAGAAATTTATGTCTCATCTCACAGTTCTGGAGGCTTGGAAGCCCAAGACTGGGGTGCCAGCATCACTGGGTTCCATGGAGCACGCTCCTCCTGGTTCAAAAATGGCCGACTTCTCGTTGTCTCCTCACATGGCAGAGAGTGGAGAGAAGCAGTGAGCTCTCTTCTGTCTCTTCTTATCAGGACACTAATCTCATTCATGAGGGCTCCACCCTCATGATCTAATTACCTCCCCAAAGCCCCATCTCCAAATGCCACCATATTGGAGATTAGTGTTTCAACATATGAATTTTGGGGGACAAAAACATTCAATCCATAGTACCCTTCCTTAAGGTTCAACTTCAGTATTGCTGCCTGCTTTCCTGCTTGCCCTAGGCTGAGTGAGAACCCCCACTCTGGGTGTGCATCGTCCCTGAGTTTTTCCTTACCACTGCATTCCCCACAGGTATTGTCATGGTCTTTATGAGTCTGGCTCCCCAAGTAGGCTCTGAGCCCATCAGGGGCAAAACTCAAGAGCTGTTATTCCTAAAGTCCTCTATGGGTAGTGTCTAAGCACATATGTGTCCTCAATAAATATTTATTGATGAATGAATGAATGAGTGCTTGAAGCTTCTTGACCTCCTGGATGCAGGTGACTTTCACATCTGCTCCAGTTCAGCTGTCTCTTCTTAAAGGTTATCACCTGATCTTTGCACCTGGGACTGAGCCCTAAGAAATCTCCAAGTCCAGCATCAGCCTGGGTCAGGTCAGATAACTGGACTACCCACTGAGGATACTGCGAAATAAATAACACAGGGAACAAGTAGAATACTAAACAAGGACAAAATATTGGGGTTTTTTGTTTTTTGGTGAGGATTAGAGCCTCTAACGCAGAATGTGGCAATGCCTGATTCTTTCTTAACATGCCATTGCTCGATATTCTCAAGCTAGCCCCCATAGCACTGGCAGCTCAGCCACTAACTACGTTTTGTAATT